TAAAAAATAATCTAAATGTTACTCTAAAAATCTAAGAAAATCTCATTTTGTTGGTGCATCTTCAAACGATATTTGAAAGCAAAGAGCTTAGTGTGTTTACATGACCAACAATGAAGAAACCACATCATTTTTACATTGACTGCATGCTGTGAAGAAAACAATGTCCTACATTTGATAAAATTCATCTTTGTAGTGAAATGGAGGATATGGTGTTACCCAATGAATAGCCATAGTTGGGTTCATGTCCTATTGACGATGGTGACAGGGATGTGCTACCTGAGACAATCTGATGGAGGGTACATCTTTCACAGTGTTTGCTCATCTTCTTTAGTGAAGTTTTTGTTTGGGTCTCATTTGAAAAGCTACTGAACTTTTCCTCTGAAAAATAATCATGTCCATTTACAGTTAATATAAACCAGAACATGACGTAATTTATTGAAAATAAAGTGTATGTGCCAAAAAATGTGACTATGACTGGATGTTTACAGGTAAACTTGTATGTACTTTCTAAGAAATGTGAAAGAGCTTAGTCAGGTTTTCAGGCCCCACTGAATGAGAATTAAGCTGCAGTCTCTTTCAGCTCTCCAGCCTGAGGATTGGGATAATATGTGAAGGCTGTATCATAATTGCCATTTTCAAAGCAAGCTAGTTAGGATGGCACTATTATTAGGAAGGTCTTGGGTAAAAAGGTGCACTGAATAAAGTGACACATGAAATAGTCACTAAAGCACATTAAATTTGCTTGATTCAAACATGTACATCTTTTCTGCCTGAATAAAATATATTACATCAACATAATTTTTGCCAAAAGCATGTAAACTGAACTTTGTGTTGATGTAATAAGTACTACTGTATACAGTCGTATGCAAAAGTGTGGCCTAGGCAAAGGTAGGCAGCCCCATAGGGCCCCTATGAGCCCCATGAAACTATAAATTAGAGATACTGTACACGTTGATGTTACATATGGTGAAATATTTATATACATTTTAAAAATGCCTGTTATTTGCAGTGGTGATTTCAATGCAACCTTACCTCTCAGTTATGGTTATAATGGAATATTTTATGCTGTTACGTGATGATGTAACTGTGTAAAGTCGGACTGGTGTAAATAAGCCCATTAAGTGATAATCTACATTATAGAGTGGAGGTTCTTCAGGATGATTTTTTTGGGTGAAAATTTTAATAAAGTTATACAACTGTAATAAAGAAATGCAAAAAGAGGGAGGAAAGCAAAAGATTTGTTGCTGCACTCTCAAAGTTAACTGTTTTCTGTCAGAACAGAGAGCTGGACAGGCTCAGCATATCATACATAATGCTAGTGCTAATGTTGGTATTGATAGCTTCAGTGTTTACTAATTTCTTTTCTCAAAATGTAATGAGATTACATTCCTGGAAAAAAGTCATCTCGCTACTCATTCCTTCTACCTTACTCTTTATTATCTTACCTTACTGTACCATATTATCTCATTATACTGGCAGATACTTTTGCTTCTTTCAAGTTTATTTCTTAAAACAAGCAAATAATCTGTCAATATCATGAGAATTTCAGAACAGAATTACCTTGAATAAGTAAAGTAAGTAAAAGTAAGCAAAAAATCTAGAAATCAGTTAAATAATCTTATTATGTTCTTAAAGCAATCTCAAAATAAAAACATTAGATATTACAACTAGATTTAAGATGATTTCACTTTCCAATATATCTTATTTTGCAGTGTAGACAGTATAGTCATTTATAAATGTGCATCCAGGAGGCCCCATTCCTGTCTTTTGCCTAGTGCCCCAGAATCACTAAGCCCCTGGTCAAAGTTCATGTTTTTGTTGATTTTCTAAGTGAAAATAACACATCATGGAGAATTCACTTCTACATAGAGAGAGCACTCCATCACAGAGGAAGTAAAATACATTCTTCATCATGGAGAACCTATTTTAATGCACAATTACTGTTTATTTGCTGAATTTATTTGCTAGGACAAAAAGTGCCTGTGCAAAATTGATCTTTTCTCAACATCAGCTTTAAACTCAGCAAATAAGCACAAATTTTGCACTAAAGTGTGTAGAAAAAGGCCAGGTCTTCTTTGTAGAAAACGTGTTAACTAACATGTTTCACCTGGAAAATCAACAAAAATGTAATTAAAGTATTCAAGCTTTTGTATACTACTGTATGTCTAGAAGTTTGTAAACACCGACTTATCCAACATTTCTTCAGAAATGAAGGGTATTAATAAGGAGTTTGTCCTCTTTTGCTGTATTACCAGCCTCTACTCTTGTGAAACGGCTTTAAAGTAGAAATTGGGACTGTGAGGATTTGATTTTGTTCAGCCAGAAGAGCGTTAGTGAGGTCAGCTACTGATGTTGGATGATTAGTTCTGGATCACTGGAAATGCCACTCCATCTCATCTCAAAGGTATTGGATGGAGCCCCATCACTCCAGAGAATGCAGCTGTAGTGCTCCACAGCCCAATTAGCTGATTTCACTAGTTAGAAGTCTGGATGCTTTGGACATATAGAATATTTTATTAATGTGGAAATGATTTACATCATTAAATTAAAATTCAGTGTTTGCCTTTGAAACTGTGTGATTAAGCTGAGTAGTCTTTTTGGACAATTAATGACAATCTTTTTAAATGCTTTTTCAGTGACATTGACAGTTATATCTTTTTAAATTCAAAATCAACATTATGTTTTTTATTTGAAATCAATGTTACACATTCAAATGAATTGTAATGTTAATTTCTAATACTAATTCTACTTTTTTTCCATGACAGCTTAGCACTATGGCCAGAAGTCTTCAGGAACAGCTAGCTGGCTGTGAGAAAATGAGAAAAAGCACAGCCCACTTTTTTCAGGCGTGTCTCCAAAGAGATGTTCTTTTCTCTTCACCTTTCTCACATTGCCTTCAACATGTAATCACCTGTTACCTGGGGAATTCCTGAAAATGAATAGATTACAAAATAAAACCTCAAAAGCATGAGCTCATAAGAGGTGCTTACCTTGGGAAATGTAAGTGAAATAAACCAAAAGAAATCATATCAGGCACTGTGGATAATCAGTTTAGTAATGTCAGAGCTCAGATGTCTCACACCAGGCATGAAGGTCTAAACAGAGTTAAGCAGTCCTTTGCACAAATCAGTTTCCTACTGTACAATACAATTAGAAGAATATTATGGTCATGACTCATTACATGAGTCACTGCAACCTTCAGAATGGCAATTTCAGTCAATGGCACGTACTTATAGTTTCTCATCTCATTAGTCAAAACACACTGAGATCATGGTTTTCAAGCCTTGTGTCCTTTTGAAAACATCCCTAAACTGTTACTATGTTGGGAAAAGAGTCATTACATTTCTGATATGATGCACAGTGTGGGAGTCATGTGTAGCCTGTATGATTGGCATTTCAAAGCAAGCTAGTTAAAATTGCATTAATAATAGGAAGACCTTGTGTGAAAAGCGTGCACTGAAAAAAATTGATGCATTTAATTTACTTGATTCAATTTCTACATGGTTTCCACATGAATAAAATACATGAACACAATTTCTGCTAGAAGGGAGTAAACTGAAAGACAGAATTAGATTAATGTAATATATGCTATCTGTCTAAAAGTTTGTAGATGTCTGCTCATCCAATATTCCTTCTGAAATTAAGGGTGTTAGTAGGGAGTTTGTTCCCTCTGACAATATTTTATTATTATCATGCTAAATTATATCACAGCACGCTGTCTTTTGAGCGTATCATTGATGTCATCAGTACTTAAAAACACTAACTACATTTTATTACAAAGTGTGCATTTATTAAGCCTGTTCAAATTGATTTAGTGCAGTTTGTGAAACTGCAGTCATAGGATTATTATTATTATTATTATTATTATTATTATTACAGGATTTTTGTTTGCAGCAACAAAGGTTCTATTTGGTCTCTTCCAACTTGTTAAATCTCAGAAAAACAAAATGTTGTTATGTATATTGTGTACTGTGAAAATGTAAGTATTGTGAGATAATATCGTCCATGTCTAGATCACATACCGCCACAAGAGCATTTGTGAGGTCACGTACTGATGTTGGATGATGACTTCTGGACGGGTCATGACTCATTACATCCGCAATGATCATTTCAGTCAAAGCATACTAAACATGTCACTACACTGGGATACCAGTTATTACTTTTCTAATATAATGTATCTAACTACTATCTGTCAGGATATTCTGGAGACAGATAATTTCCAGTTAAAACGAGCATTATGTACAACTTATTCACATTTCAGGAGTTATTTTTCAGGAGGTTAGATGTAAGATAATAAACTTGCATAAAGAAAAGGAAAGTCAAAGCAAAATAACTAAAAAAAACAAGACCTTCCAAGATTGGATTTCAAAAAATTCTAACTGATATAGAGAAAATGGGACTCCTAACAACCATGCAAGAGCTGGTAGACCATCAAAACTGTCACTATCAGATGAACAGTACTTCCATTAGAAAGAGGAGAAAATCAAGCTTCATTCTTGCTTCAGATCTGAAACAATACATAGGTGCTTCTGTCCATCCTTCCACTGTGAGAAGACAACTCAATGCTGTTTAGCTGCCAAGAAGCTGTTACTGAGAAAAGGTAAAAAAAGAACACTTGCAAATCAAACAAAGAAGCTGCTGGTGTTCTCAGACCAATGGACTGGCCACCCCAGAGTCCAGACCTCAACATCGCTGAATATGTTTGGGATCACTTGAAATGTTCAAAACAGAAAATGCAACCAACTTCTAAGAATGAACTTTGGAGATGCAGAAAAATTTCCCTGCAGATTTCATAGAAAAACTGAAAGCAAGTCTCCTTATAGGAACAGAAGCATTATTAAAAAGAAAGAGTGGACACACTAAACACTGAAAAAAGAAAAAAGATATACGCAGTGTTGGAGGTTTCTGTGTAATTTTCCGATAAATGTTTTCTGCTCTAACTCAATGAAGGGTTGTCTCTGACTTTTACACAGTATTGTATAATGAGAAGGGTAGAACCATTCAACCATTTAAAATGTATTTATTTTGTGCACAGAATACAGTAGACACAGTCATGGTGAGAAAGAAAAACAAAATCAAGACAACTTAGACTTAACTCATTTCTCTAAAATACAGGACTATAGGAAATTTGTTATTCTATAAGTAATTTCCTCTTCTTATATCTGTCATTCCACAATTTCATCTTTTTACATCTCTTTTTTGCATAGTATATAAATACTGTTAGGCTAGCACCCAATAAAAATACTTATTGAGCTTACAGGGAGAAGGCCTCGTCACGCAAGGGAATAAGACTTATTCTCCTGTGTCAGCACTCAAATCCATCATAAATATTTCTTGGAACACTTGAGCTGCTCATCCTGACTTGCCCACTAAACCCCTCTCCTCTTGCCATAGAATCGAAAACACTGCACAGACGTAAGCAATTCTGCTCAGTATACAGAATGCATTGCTTCATTGCTTACGTCTATCCAGTCTTTCGTCATATAAAGGTGATGGGGATCAGGTTTACGCCCATCAAAATCTGACCTCTTTTGACAAAGATAAAACAAAGGCAAAACAAAACCCCAATTTCCCCTGCCAGACTTTTGTAAACAGTGGCTGCTTCGGTGATCTTTACACCTCTTTGCGGAGTGCCACCCGTACACTGCTGAAGATCTTTCCCAGCGCCTCGAACAATGGATCGCAGAACGTGTGGATGCAGAGTGAGTAGATTCGACTCAAGCACTGGGTCTCAATCAGGTAGCTCTTGATGCAGGGCATGACGGCCCAGATGTGGCAGAAGGAGATGCAGGCGAAGCAGAAGCCCCACAGCAAAGCCACGGGGATGCCAAAGATGGCCGACAGCACGCGGTAGCACCAGTACTTGGAGACGGTGAAGGTGGTGTAGCTGGCTTTCCACACTCCATCCAGACTGTGTGTGCCGTCAGGCTCAGCAATCACATCCTCGAAATCTACCTGGATTTTAGGTACATTAACATATGTCAATATCATTAGCAATTTAAATTCATATTCACCTCGTTTCTGAGGGCCTCTTGATAGAAACTAAACTGCTCTGAGAAAAAAGCCATGTCATTGGTCTAAAGGGGCTTTTCGGCCTAAAACTAGCACTTAAAGCTACACTATGTAAGATTTGAGGATTTGGAGCCCTCTTTGGTAGAAATGTGCAATTGCATGTAGTGAGACCTGAACACTGAACTAGACCTTCTTCTTGAGTCTGTGTGTCTGACATTAGTATATAAAGATGTGTAATGTGGTCTGAAGTCTAAACAGACTCCTCAGACTTTTAAATTATTGTTTCAGGCTTTGAAGAGTGACTCACAGCAGCACACAGACACCATATTTTAACATGTTTTTTTCCCTCCTGACTCAGTAATGCTATTTCTTTCAAGTTTAACAAACAAAATCTAACATAGTGCATTATATTTAATATAGTATTAAATTATTATTAGTTTTAGAGAATTCAAGATTTTTATATTGTTTTCATGTTTCGTCTATCAGTGTTCTATAATTCCAATAGCCAGCATGCATTACACACAAATACAAATGTACATAGAAACACTGAGAATCCCTGGGCCCCCTTTAATACATCCTTATTGCTAGCCACTGATCTAGAGGCTCATAATGACAGCTAATAAATGCTAGCTAGCATTAGCGACATGGCACTAACTTCAGATGGTCGTCAAACTTTTTTCTTTGTTATTGGAATAATTTATTTGAAGAATTAATCAGTTAATGAAAAGAAACCGAAGAGCCCTCTCTAAAGTATCCATCTCAAAGCACTTTAGTGTTTCAAAATTTACTTCCTCCTTGAAGACTCATCATTAGAAAGGGATTTTCTAGGCTCCCGAGTGGCGCAACCGTCTAAGCGTTGGCCCTATCATCACAAGATCGTGAGTTCGATCCCTGGTGAAGCCACAGCCATCTGTAGCCGGGAGTCCGAGAGAGCGCAATTGGCCTCGCTCTCTCTGGGTGGGTGTGATGGCCCCTCCTTCTCCCCCTATCACTCAGCGCGATGCTAGTCAGCGCAGGCGTCTGTTAGCTGACGTAGCACCTAACTCGAAAAGAAACGGTGGTTGGCTTCACAGGTCTCGGAGGAAGCCTGTGTTAGCCTTCACCCTCCTAGCGTTGATAGCATCGTGTGATTGGGGGAGTCCTAACTAGCGGGTGGAATTGGAGACGACTAAATTGGGGAGAAAATCCGGTAAAAATTAAAAGAGATTTTCTCATCTTTAACTAGGAAATCTGACTACTGTGGCTACTACTGTAAAAGGCAAGTAGGCATGTTTACAACAGATATAGTGATGTTTAAATTACATAGTTTGGCTGGAGTGTCCATATATCATTGTATATATAAGGCTGCTGTAGTAGGAAAATGTACTTCTGAAATAGTATGAAATAGTAACTTTGTAAGAGAAGAAAATCACTCTTAATTGTATTGCACATTAATGTCAGTCTTCTTGGATCATTTATATCAATCCACTCTTGATGAATTGCGCAATATGAATGGCAGCTGACATTTCAAAATGGTGTATAAATAGATAGAGTTACAAGAATTTTTAAGACAGTGACTTCAAGTGACTGTCCAGTAATGATGTGCTGCTGCTTTTCAGTTGAATCTGTTCATATGAACCAGCTCATTTGGCCTAACGGGAAGCAGGCAGCTTAAGAACTGTACAGCTATTTTTACTCCCTAAATGGGTGATGATTAATACCCCAAACAAAGACATCTGATACTCAACCACTAATGTTTCAGATTCTGTCTATTTCAGCTTCAAACTTTGGGACACATGAAAACCAGTGAGCATTAAGAGAGACTATTTCAGTCTGTTAAACTCTGTCTGTAAACAGTGGCTATATTTATGATGGGACATATCAGCCTCAAAATAGGCCTCTAGATCTTCATACATATCAGTTAATTTAAGGAACAATTTGCATGTCTGGCTTGGTCTGAGCCTGTTGTCAGTGTAATCTAGCCTTCCAAGCCTGACTTCTGCATGTTGTCGGAAAGTCTGGCATGTTTCGTTCCTTAACCTGGACAAGACCTGACTACTCTGAGAAGAAAGGGCTGCCTGACTGACATGCAACATAACCAACAACAACAGATAGGTGTTTGACTGTGATGTGTAATGATAGGCGACTTTAAAACAAGGCTACAACAAAAATGAACCAGTACACAAAAGTTTGTTATCCGTCAGCAAACATGCAAACACAACATGCTTAAAAACTACTAAATGCTTCAAAGAAAACTCTTAAATTATGATGTTTATGAACAATGAATGCATGTTGTTTACTTCAGAAGCTTAACAATCTAGCTACTATATCTTTCTCTGTTAGGCTCAGTCATGTCATGCAGAATGGGCAGCTGCTCACAATAGTATGTTTACTACTGGAGTGATAAAACCTGCTGCATGGAAGTTTGGATGTGTGGATAGATAGAACTGGCAAAATCCCAACAGTTGTGGGCAGCTTTTCATACTATAGGCTTACACATACACAAAGCGTCTAGGGCCTGACATTAGTGTAAATTTAATCACTTTAATTAGGGTTGTACTGATCATACAGCAACATTCACGGGAAATGCAGTAAACAAAAGCACATGAATGTTTATAGTATAGCAAACAACATCCACTAAAATAAGATCAGTTTTATATGCTTTTACATAAGCTACTGGGGTGTCTAGGACCCTCTAAATAACCTCTTGGTTTTGGGGACCTCTTGGACCCACTGAAACCAAGAACACTAGAAGAGATGTGTATGATGTGAGGAAGATCGCATTACCAAACTAGAAAAGAGCATTTCCAAAAAAAGAACAAACATTTTGGTGCTATTGAAGTTAGCGTCAGTGCCACTATGGCAACTGAGTTAGCAGCCAGCCACCACTGAAGTAGCCAGCCAACATGCAGAACTCAAAATAAGGGGGGCGATGGTGCGCTCATCAACACTGTCTAATGGACAACAACCCTGTTGTTAGCCAGTGGACATAACCTGAGTTAGCATGGCTGAAAAGATTAAAAACTCAAACTAAGCCTGTAGATATGTGTTGCATGTGCAAAGGAAAAACAGCTAATGATAGAGTTTTGCTAGCTAACTTGTTCGGCTTGTGTTATCATTGTATGGTCTCATGGATGAGAGGAATTTGGGGGCAGGTTTTAAAGAGGATGTGCTCTCATTAGTGGTAGATTGTGCTGCAGTCCAGCACCAAAAGTTACAAGAAGTGTATTCTCATTACAAGATCACATCTGGCCCAACATGACTAGACTTCCCTGCTCTAGCTCTTCCATTTTCTCTGACAACAGCATAAGGACATTCTTTCTAAGATCCTTCTAATGGACAAGAAGAGATTGGAAAATGGTCATGTAAACATAAATTATGACCGTTTTGGTGTATATATGTATACAAATGTCGTAAGTGGACCTCTTATGACATTTGTGAAAAATATAATATATGAAAAAATGTCATATATGGGCCCTTTAAAGGTAACTGATAGTGTTTATGAAAGAATCACATTTTTAAAGGTGCCATAGAATGGAAAACTGTATTTACATTGACATAGTTACATGAGCAGGCTTCGCTCAGCATTTCACAATGACAGAGGGTTCCAACTTTATTAGTATCTCAACTCCAAACACAACCTGTGAGTAGCAGCCAAGCTGTGTGATTTTATTCATTTTGACAGTTGAAGCCAGACAGTCTGAAATCTAAAGTTTCATAGCAACAACTTTAATTTCCTTTGTGTTGTTGTCAGTATGCAGAGCAAGTAGCTAGTACAGGTAACGTTAACTACTAGCAAGTCAGCTAGCCCAGGCAACTAGCCAGTCCAGGCAACTAGCATAGCTAACTAAATAGTATGACAACCTGCCTTATTTATCCAGAGGTTCATTTTATTTTCGAGCCTGTGTCTATTTTGACACGTTGCTTCTGTGTGAGCCATCGCGGCGCCTCACTGTAAACCAGCAAATCAGAGCAGAGCTCATCAAATTATTCATGACTCACCAAAAAAAGGGAAAACAGCTCGTTTCATTCTAGGACCAAATCATGGGGTAGTAAATGGGCGTGTAAAACCACATCTGGGCATTTTTCACCCTGACCAAAGTCACATGCCTTCTTTGTGGACATCAGAGAACAATCAAAAAAGGCTGAATAAATGCATTCTATGGCACCTTAAATTCAAAATATCCAAACAATAGAGATATCCTCTAAAGATCAGATTCAACAAGTTTCCAAGAGGAAAACAGCTTAGATGTAGAATTAATGAGATTCTGTTTTTTTAGAGAAAATGAGCTAATAAAATTCATACTATTTCCAGTTATTTTCTGACTAGAATGCAGCATTACCTCCAGAGAAATGTAATGATCCAAATGCAGTGCACTATTGCTTCATGCATATAAATGCAACATGGGGGTTGCTATCAACATGAGTACACATCATGCATGAGGCATGACTCATTTAGCTCCATTAATAAAATCCTAACGTAGCTTCCTACCAAGTGCTGCCGTCTCATCCTTTATCAATGTATACACACATGTTGCATGCTATAAACTCCTTTTAAACATATACTATAACAAAGTATTGATTAAAACTTAGATATCAAAACCAAAAAATCTCTGATCTAGCTGACACGCCCTTATACCCCTTCCATAAATAATGGCTGTGTGGCCTGGCCTGGCAAAAGTATGTCTGCAGGCTATTTTTGGGTCATGCCTTGCAGCAGTACATAGAGCTCTGCACGCTACATGCAAACAGAGCTGTCTCTATAGAGAACTTTCAATCAAATCATCATAAAACTTATGATTTTAGAGTTTTTAATGAAACCCATGTATGTACATTTAATCAGATCATTATGTTTAGTAAAAAGCAATGCCAAATGACCTTGGAATGCATTAGTTGCATTAGACCTCACTGTAATGTATTATAATAATATGTAATGCCTTTGTCACAGTACTTGCTTTGGACATACAGTTCTAGGAAAAGACTAATTTCTATAGAACTTACTTTTTTTGTGGCTTTGAAAAAGTTCTTTACATTTGCATACCTAATTTCTTCAAAGAATCATCCTTTGAAAGGTTCTTCAGGGAACCAAAATTGGTTCTTCTGTGAACCTTCTCTAAACCTTTTTTTGGCACATTTGAGTGTAGCCTCAAAGGAATAGACGGTTATACTGAATGAGGCCCATCTGTTCCCCTCTCTGAATATCAGAATGCAGTGAATTAAAAGGGTGGTGTCATTGAAGCACCCACATACCTTCACGACATCTTCATTGATTTGCTTGGGGTCCCTGTTGATCAGGTCGATCTCTTTGGTGTGTCTGTCCTTCAGGATCTTCTCCTCATTGATGTTGTACTGATCTGCCATGGTTGGAGTGTTAGGCCCAGCTGCTGGTCAGAATGGGACCGGAGTAGAGAAGCGAGAAAGGGTCCGAACGTGGTGTAACGCCCAACAAGTAAGGGACTAAACGTAAAGAGCGTATGAACACTTCTGCAGTTGCCCCTGAAGCTCCCGGCGCTGATCTGACAACACGTCTGGAATGTTAGAGGACAGCTGCGCTAGCCTGGCCTTCACTCTAAAGTGGGTCCCTGTCCCTTCTCTCTCTCTCTCTCTCTCTCTGTCTGTCTCTCTCTTTCTAAAGAGTGCTTCACTCTTCCTTGCTCTACATATCCCATACACTGCACTCCATATCATGCACACACTTTGTAAAGGCAACGTTTAAAGGAGATTCCACGGCCTGTGTCAGATTTCACACCTAACTGAGGGGTCAGGCAGGCGGGAGTCACACACTAGCATGAATTTCCACCCAGGGGTGACAATCTAGAAATTGAATTGGTGGGCTGGTCAGTGGCCACCGCTACTAATTATTTGTTTAGAGAAAAGTAACGTCACCTAATCATTAACTTCCACTCGCTCCTATAACTTAATAATTACTACATCATTTTGCATTGAAGTCTATGTAGTTACTGAATAATAAGGCTTAACATGTGTATATACAAAAGATTTGGTAACACTTTACTGTAGGGTTCTGTTCATAAGGCTACATAACACTTACATAAGCTTGTCATGACCACTGACATAACCCTACATAAATGTTTATAAATGTTTATTCCAGTAGGTGTCATCTGTCGTAAAGGCTACTTTAGCTAACTTTGATCAAAATTGACAAATGCAACCTTTATAGCAAATGACGCCTGCTGTAATAAGCATTTATAAACAGTTATGTAGGGTTATGTCAGTTGTCATAATAAACTTATGTGGATGTCATGTAGCCTCATGAACAGTACCCTAGAGTAAAGTGTTACCAAAGATTTTAAGGGGGTAACTTAAGAGGTCTTAAGTCTCAAGGGTTTAAGAGGCATAGTGTTACACACTATGAGTAACACTACACCTCATACAGCTTCTATCATAACTGGATTACCAGCTGCCCTTCATATTATGCAGATATTTTATGAGAAGTGGACTGATAGAAATGGTCCAACATTATCTGTATATATAAAATAAATCACTTTTCTTTTCCAGAATTCAACAATAGGCACTGTTTGACCATGTGCAGACATTAACGGATGTTTTGCTTATCACTTGGAGAAGAATTTCTGCCTGGTGCTGTATAAGGTTACGCTTGCCACTAGGGATCATATGGCATATTTAAAACATGTCAGGGTCTGCACGGGCGTGCTTTCTAACTGACATCATTCTCAGAAACAGGCCAGTGAAATATCATTTGTTTAAATCAATAAGTGTGTCTCAAAGTGAAGGCTACAGCTAAGGTAGGAGAGACCTTGCTAGTACTGGAATACAAAAGCTCCTCATCCTCATTGAAGGCAGGCTGAGCAGGCTGTACCAAGTGAAGTAAGCAACGTGACATGTTTAAGTCTTAGTTTAAAATGTCCATGTAGATTTAACATTCCATTACATTTCATTACAGACTCTTCTCCTGCCACTTGTGGCTGTTTCAACCTTTTTTTTCAAATTGTTTTGAGCTATGTGTGAAGGATGGTGTGTGGCTGAAGGTCTGGAGGGACACCAGTTGCATTTCTCAGCCACTTTTAAAGGATCCTACAAAACAGGGCAGCTTTCAGTGATGTAATAGCCGAGAAACGCAGCCTTCCTCAGCTGCATCCTTTGCTTTGAGACACAACTACTGATTAGTCAGTCTGGGCAAAGTCAGTATTTCGTTTTATGCACAAGCCGTGTTTCTCTTCAACAAATTTTAGGTTAAGAATTTTCATTTAGGACATTATATTGTCTCTATTGGGACAAAACATTCTACCTCATTCTATTTTTGTTGTTTTAATTTTAAAATTTTAATAGAATTTGAAAGTGCTAGTTGAATTTTACATTGTGTTAAAATTTCAAAATTTTAAAAATGTCCTGAATTACTTGGAAAAATATCTTCTTCCATTAAGTTCCAAACAAATCTATGAGTTTTTTTTCCATCTCCTTTAAAGTTACCATTTATGAGAGACAAACTTTTGTCCCAACAGAAATAGTACACTACTTGCATACTCTCAGTCTGACTCTGACCCTTAGTGTGCTCATGTGACCTTTCAAACTTCATCACATTTTCTGTTCATACTGAAAGACCACTGTGTGCTTCAAGGTAGCACGTTTGGACTGTAAAGGTGTATAAAGGTGTCTCGTATCAGTGAAGACTCCAGCAATTCTGCACATCACACATGCTCATGAAGGTGGGGTTGGTGCTTGACATTTCAACGAATGAAATGCCATTCCATTAATGTAAGCTGAACGATGTAATCAAATCCCTTTGATTTCCATAGAACACGATTATGCCTGCGATACCAGCCTGAAAGAATCATGCCACTATATTTTTCTTGGATGTCTTGAAATTGTAGCTTGTTTGAGCTCATCATGAATCTTGTCAGTGCTAATTCCTCTTACTGACTGGCTTCTTTCTGTCATTTTGATTAATTTGTCATTTCATTAAAAGAGAACCATTTGAGTCCACAACATATAATGCAATGTATAAGGGAATATATGCTAAAAAGTACTTTTCAAGCTTAAATATAACATGTAATATTCATCATCAACATGGTTAAAAATATTGCAGATGAAAACTGGAGATGAAAAAGGAGAACACTACGCTGACCACTTGTGATATTTTAAACATCTGTTTACATAAATTGTTATGACTGTATTGATTAAAACAAACAATAATGCAGTGGGTCCACCAGATCACTGAGTAACGAAAACATGAATACCACACAAGGGTTAAAGTTGGGGTGTCCAGTCTTACTCTCATAGGGATGGTGTGGGGGCAGGTTTTCATTCTAACAAAGCAGGAGATCACATGATCATTTGACTGAAATCAGCTGACAAGATTAGACACCTTTGCCTTGAAGTATCATCATGTTATGTTTTTGTCATATTGCTAAGGCCTGTCTAGTGAAGACGTCTTGAAAAACAGATGATTCTAAAACTGGTTTAACATGTATGCTCCCATCAACTGTTAATAGAAAATTAGGTTTTGGGAAATCAAATATCTTTACTGATTTAAGTTGCTGTTGCAGTTCATTTCAAGATATTGTTGACATGAGTTCACAATACAATGCAGACTTCCTTAAAATTGTACTCAAGTGCTATTTTACAAATATCAGACTCCAAATGTCTCCATTGCTGTGGGATATAGATAGCCCTACAAGGTTTAGGGCAGATAATGGAATGCTTTCTAAGTCTTAAAATACTCCCTTTGAATACACTGTGCTTGCTGATTTACAGCAAGGAACTTTCCAAAGACCCTAATGAACCTTGGAAAACTCAACACCCCACCCGGAATAAAACCTGTACTGATTCCCACTGTAAGTTTCAATGTTTATGGAAATCCTCAGGCGATTCAGACAGAACCTGGTAACGACCCATTAAAGTAGTAATAACAACACTGAGTAATAACAACATTGATATTTCGAGTTCTGCGTGGCTCTTAAACACCTTTGAGCCGCTGCCAAATCTACTGCATAAAACACATTATTTTAAACAGATCCATTCCATTCTATTTGGCAACATTAGCAGCCTATAAATTTGTACTTCACAGCAAAAGCATGCTAAGTGATTATCACTGCAAAGATATTTACGTCTCCCTCATTTTTCTGTAGCAGCAAAAGTGAAGGGAGCAGAAGAGGAATTCTGCCGAGGTACATGCCCTCTGACGCTCGGCTAATTAGAGAAATATTCACAGTGTTCTGTGAGCTTGGGTGGGGTTGGAGTCCCAGCGGAAAGAGCTACAAAAATACCCCACACAGTGGCAGGTCGGACGTGCCTGAGCCTACTGTTTATGCCAACAGAAGGAAGTGACTGTCTTGTCTTTACTGTGTAATTGATTAAGTTCTGGGGAAAAACGTCGTCATGTCTTTAAGAGACGACTGGTATTTTTTATGTTAAAAAAGCTGGCCCTGTTCTGACATATATTTCTCTCAACCCATGCTTTTTAATCCTTCACCTTGTGACCCATGACACTGCATGGTTTCGGATATTCCTTAATTCAACATATTATAGTTAAATAGTGCTGTGGGTCACCAGGAGCAGGATTAATAAACAGCTCTTAACAAATACATAGGGCAGAAACACATCTGAGAATAATCCAAATTTGATCTCTAAAACTGTCCACAGCAGAAACAAGGACACAAAGCGTTACTGATGCAAAGCACCAGCATGTAGTATCCCAAAAATTGTAGAACGCATCCACAAGTCTTAATAGACCATTTTAGCTAACACATAGTTGTTTTCACTCTAGTTAGTAGAGTGCCAGTAGCTCCCCCTTGTGGACAATCTTGAGTTAGTGAGTTAGCATGTGAGTGTGATACCAGGTGAGTCCATGAGGTGCTTCACATCTAGAATAAGAGTGCCTTTTTGTTGTTGTATGAAAAAGAATACACAACATACAGGCTCTTTATTCATATAGGATATGCTTCATAAAATGAGTGGCTGGAGGAATGTCCATAAACATAAAACAGATAGTTCTGGTTCTAAACTCTGATTGGCTGAGCTGTGTTAAAGCACATTATGGAATTATACAGTTATGGTGAGAAAACCCTGCTAATATAAGATATAACAGCACAGGTATGTGCTTTTCAGCCAGTCTGCTTGTGTGCTGTTTGTGTACCATTGTGTAATACTCATATACACAAACATATGTACTGTGGCTGAGAAAACCCAACAAACTACAAACTACAAAAAAAACTGCAAACCCAGAAAACACTATCATCAAAATCATAACATATGTGCAGCATTTTTCAGACACTCAAAAAACACTACAAATACAAATACAGCACTGTAAGTCAGAGCACAATGGAAATGTTTCCATAGAGCACGCAAAGAGGACGCATTCTGTAAGCATGTTATTAATGCCCGCGCTGCTTGATTAGTTAAATATACCCACTTCCTGCACCTCACACTCATTTCTGCTTTAAGCCTCACTCACTTTCAGTTGGTAATCAAATGTCAGGTATCAAAAAAGTATTATTCTGGAAGCCATACTGAAATCAAG